CCCAGGCAAGAAAGTCCATGAGACTCCTATCTCCAATTAACCACCAGAAAACAGGAGGTGGCACTATGGCTCAAATGGTAGAGTGCTAGCCCTGAGCTGAAAGCTCAGGGACAGTTCCCAGGCCCAGAGTTCAAGCCCCATGACCAACCAAAAAAAAAAAAAAATGCAGCTAGGTGCCAGTGACTCACATTTGTAATCCTAGCTACTCAGGAGGCTGAGATCTGAAGATCATGGTTTCAAGCCAGCCCAGGTAGGAAAATCCATGAACTCTCATCTCTAATATACTACTCAGAAAAAGCCAGAAGTGGCACTATGGCTCACATGATAGAGCCCTAACCTTGAGTACAAAGAGACTCAAGGACACGCCCAGGCCCTTATAAAACTTGTAGGTGGGAATAGGAGAGAAAAACTGGGAGTGAGAGAAGGGGTGACATTAAACAAAAAGAAATGTACTTGTTACCTTATATAACACTTCTGTACATTGCCTTTACAATAACAGTAATTTTTTTAAAATACAAGTGGGATTGTCCAAAAATGAAATGTACACATTACTTGACTTACAAAATGGTAACCCCTCTGTAAACCAACTCTATAGCAATTAAAAAATAATTTTTTAAAAAGACATAAGCTGGGTGTCAGTGGCTCACACTTCTGTTCTGGCATGTTTACATATCCTCTAAGCAACATACAACTACACCCTGAGAAAGGGAAGGTTGTGTTCCAGGTCAACCTGAGCAGAGAAGCCCATAAGATTCCTTCTTAATGAAGGAAGCTCAATGACCCAATGGCACACACCTGTCATGACATCAATAAATAATGGATGCCTAACATAGGTGGCCTGAGGCAAAGGCATGTACAGGAAGCAAGACCTCATCTCACAAATAACCAGCAATGGCTGGGAAGGTGGCTCAGTGGCAGAATGCTTGCCTGGCATGCATGAGGTCCTGGGTTCGATTCCTCAGCACCACATAAGCAGAAAAAGCTGGAAATGGTGCTGTAGCTCAAGTGGTAGAGAGCTTGCCTTGAGCTGAAGAGCTGAGGAACAGTGCCCAGGCCCAGAGTTCAGGCCCCACAGCCGACAAAAAAAAAACAAGGCAAAAAAACAGGGATGAAGGTATGACTCTGTAGTCTAGTGCCTGCCTAACAACTGCAAGGTTCAAGTTCAAAACTCTGTATAGGAGCTCATATCTGAAATCCTAGCTACTCAGGAGGCTGAGATCTGAGGCAAAGCTCAGGAAAGTCTGTGACATTCGTAACGAGTTAACCACCAAAAAGCTGGAAATGGAGTTATAGCTCCACTAGGTAGCCACTTGCTAGCCTTGATCAAAAAAGTTTAGGGACAACATCTAGGCCCTGAGGTTAAACCTCAGGATTTACACACACACACAAAACACAACACTTTATACTGAGCAGAAATATGTGAGGTTTTTATTTCCAAATAAGCACTAAAAATCTGGAAGTGATGATGTGGCTCAAGTGGAAGAGTACCAGCCTTGAGTAAAAAAGCTAAAGGATAGCACCCAGATCCTGAGTTCAAACTCCAATACTGGAACAAAACAAAAACCTGACACTGCAAGAAAAAGGACAAGGTGCGAAGAAGAAGAGGAGAGAAGAGGGAGAGAGAAAAGGACAAAGGGAGGGAGCTGGTTGAGACAATGCCTGTGTAGCCTGGTAGACTGGCTTGCACCTGTTATCCTGAGTACTCAGGAGATGGAGATCAGAGAAAATGTCAGTTCAAGAACAAAAGTTAATGAAACCCTCATCTTGAATAACAAAAGCTGGATATGGTGGTGTTTGCCTGTCATCTCAGCTATACAGAAAAGGTAAATCAAACAATCATAGTGCAAACAGGCCCACACATAAACATGAGACCTTATTCAAGAGGCTGGGGCATAGTTCAAGTGGTAGAGTGCCTGCCTAGCAAGGCCCTGTGTTCAAACCCCAGTACCAAACACACACACACACACACACACACACACACACACGCACACACGCACACACGCGCACACACACACACACACAGATATGAGTAGAAACATACAGATGTACAGAATCATTTGATACCTGTGGGTTACTCCCTCCATTCCAGGAATAACCTTTGGTGAGTTTTCCAACTCCATCATCCCAATCCCAGTCACTGTCATCATCATAGTAGTCCTCTTCTTCCTCCTTCTCATCTTCTATCTCACCTCCACCCTTCTCCATCACATGATTTTGGAGGTTTCCAAACAGACTGCCATCTTCCACTTTGATTGTCTTCAACTCAATGTTCTCACTAAAAAGTAACAATGTTTTGGCATGTTTACATATCCTCTAAGCAACACATAAACACATACAACACATGCAAGCAATACATAGAGAATACAAATACATGCACCTTTATTGCTAATTCTCCATGTCCGGTCTTCCTAAGAAAGAAGTACATAATCTGTTAAATCTACTTCTGTCTTAAAATTCCAACTAAATTTGGGAATAATTTTTTTTTTTTTTTGCCAGTCCTGGAGCTTGAACTCAGGGCCTGGGCACTGTCCTTGAGCTTCTTTTGCTCAGCTAGCACTCTACCACCTGAGCTACAGCTCCACTTCCAGCTTTTTGTTTATATGGTACTGAGGAATTGTACCCAAGTGCTTCATGCATGCTAAGCAAGCACTCTACCACTAAGCCACATTCCCAGCCCTTGGGAATAATTCTAAAGCAATCTTATCTTGAACTCAGTAATATCAAGATTACTATGACAGAAAGAATTTCAATCATTTATTTGTAAAGAAAAGAAATGATGAAAAGAGGTGAGACATTACAGAAGAGTGAAATAGGCTGAGAGGGAAGGGACTTTGAGAAGAGGCTCCCATAAAGGGCACACAGATAATGAGGTCTTTTAATGCCATGCAATAACTGAGACTTTGGATTAGTTTTTCAAGATAAGCCAGAAATCCAAATGTTTGTGTAAAATCTTCCACATGATTGGTGTATTCTTTTTCACATAACTGATGTATTTAACTTTATATAACAGTTCATATCAAACAAAACATGTCTACAAGCCAAATTTGATAAAGAATTCCCAGTTTTGATCTGTCATATAGAGAATGAGAGCAGAAATCAAAACCCTTTTCCCTGTTTTGTTTTTTTTTTTGGGGGGGGGATCCAGTCGTGGGGCCTGAATTCTGGGCCTGGGCACTGTCCCTCAGCTCTTCAGCTCAAGGATAGCGCTCTACCACTTGAGCTTTTTTCTTTTTGCTTATGTGGTGCTGAGGAATCAAACCCAGGGCCTCAACCATGCAAGGCAAGCACTCTACCACTGAGCCACCTTCCCAGCCCCCCTATGTTTCTTTTAAGTAGGAGTTATCCTCCACTGCTCTTTTCTCAGATCCCTACACCCATTCAATCTAACACCAAATCCTAACACGTCTACCTCCAACTCATCTCTGTAACTCTAGCTTTTGTTGGCTGTTACTGAGGTTTGAATTCAAGGTCTGGGCTTGCTTGCTCACAGCCAGGGAATCTACCATTTGAGACATGCCCCCAAGCCCTAATTTTTTTCTTACTATTTTGCTTTATTCCACTCTTGCTACTGAAGATGATCTTCCATAAAGCAAATGACACAATTCCCTTGCTAAAATCCTCTTAACCCCTTAGCCTCACTTGTGGGTCTATACAGCATCTGTCCATCACTTTCTCTATCTCCACTGTACTGGCCTCTTGGTTTTCCTTTAACAGACAAGGAGGATCCTATCTCTATGTGTCTTCTATGCCCAACATACTGTTCCCCTCTGCTCCAGCTCATTTCTTGCCATTTAAATCTGGGCATTCACTAGTTCTCCCCTGACCATTACTAAGTATGTAAATCTACTTTAAGTACTTAAGTGTAACGATCTGTTTAAGTGTTTTCCTGGTTGCACTTCTTCCTAAAGACAAGGCGAAGGTCCACGAGGCAGGGACTTAAGTTTCTCTTGTTCAGCGCTACCTCCAGCTAAAAACAAAAACCTAACCGAGTGTTCCTACAACACTGATTGTAAACACCTGGGTTCCGCACGCCCATTAGCACTCTCACTCCAGCCCCTGGCAACTGTGAATCCTATTCTGGATGTTTTAAATCAAGTAGAATCATACCACAAAAACGACAATTTGAGAACCTCTGTTTCCCAGCTGCGATCTGCACGTCTGCCTCTCGGCTTCGCTGATCACCAGGGAGCCCGCACACTCCCTTGACAAGTGACTTTCAAGAATCCTAACCTAGGGCGGCGGCGGCCAGGATGCAGACACGAAGACTCGACACCCTCAAAGCACAAACAAGGGTCAGCTTCCCAGAGGGGAAAGTGTTGGGGGCAGGGGGGGAGGATTGTCGGTGTGGTCCCCTAAGGCCTACCTGTCAGAGGACTCCGCGTCGTCGAACTGCCCGGGCACCACCTGGCTCATCAGCAGCCGCCGGTAGTCCATGGCCGACGGCGCTTCTTGCACTGCGGCCGGAGGCCGGCCTCTGCCCTGGGACAGGAATGGCACTGAGACGGCGTGACCTACAGCGACGTGGGTAAGCCGCTCCGAGCCGCCCCACGCTCACAGCGCGGTCCACGTGCGGAGAGAAACCTGCACCGACAACTCGCGCCGCCTGCGCGCCCCGCCGACCGGAAGTTCCCAGCCGGAAGCAGCACCGGAAGTCCCGCTCGCGCCGTGCGGGCCACCGAGAACTCGCTCGGGACGGCGTGCGAGAGGGACAGTCCTCAGTCTCTGGCGGACGTTTTGGACGGTCCGCACAAGTGACGCGTGGGCCGCTCGTTTTGCGTGTAGTTTTTCGTCCCTTGCGCATGCTCGGCTTAGAGTTTCCTCCCACCCGAAGAACGCACCAGAATCCCCACAGGCTCTCGCGTGGGGAGTCGCACGCTCCTAACGTCATGCTTCCGGGAGCGTGATTGACGGGCCCCGCGATTGGCCAGCGCCCGGTGACGCCACAGAGGGAGGACGCGATCCTCAGATCCAACGGCGGTCGCCGAAGCCTGCGGGGGAAGGGGGCGTCCTCCCTCCCGCCGCGTCTGTCCTCCCGCGCTGGAAGTGGGAAATCCTTCGTTTGGGTCAAAGAAACTCTCAATGGATCATGGAAGTGAGCACAGTTTTACATGTTAGCGAATTGGGTGCGTCGTTTTGACGGGAAGACGAGATATGAGGTTTTCGAAAGTTAGAAGTTGGTGAGACTGCAATCTGTTAGGCACAAGATGGAAGGACACCTAGAAAGTTCCTAGGACCTCTCCTCACCCTTAAGATAGCGGCTTGAGAATACCAACAGGATAGGTATCCTAACACTGAATAAGTTGTTATATTGGTGCCAGCCCTGGGGCTCCTCCCTGAGCTTCCCCTCCCTCCCTTCTGCCCTCCCTCAAGACGAACTCTCTTTTCGTTTGAGCCACGTCTCCACTTCCAATTTCGGCTTTGGGGCAGCAGGAGACTCTTATCTTTAATCATAAGTTCTTCCCTGCCCGGATAACTTCAAATTGTGATCTCCTCACCTCTATCTACTGAGTAGCTAGGGTTATAGATGAGTACCCCTGGCGCTCAGCTGAATAAGTAAAGTCTGCTAAGGACTCAAATGGAAGGTGGAAGACTGGGGACATGGCATTAATCTTAAGGCCTTTGGTTCAGTACAGAAATTTTTAAACAGTGAAAGATGGAGAGAGAAAGGCTGAATTTAAAAAGTAATAATAGTGTGAGTTCTCATGGCTTTATGCCTACCTACTCAGAAGGCTGAGATCTTAGGATAATGGTTCAAAGGTAGTATTAGGCTGAAAAGTCTGTGAGACTCATATCCAGTTAACCAGCAAGAAGCTGGGAGTGGAGTTACGGTGTAAGTGGCAGAGTGCTAGTCTAGAACTTTTGAAAAAAGCCAAGGGAGAGAGTGTCCAGTACTGGCACCAAATAAATAAATAAACAAATCAGTGCCAGAAGATGGATGAAAAAGTTGTAAAATTGTAATTGGGAATTGTGGATTTACAACTATAAACCAAGAAATTAAGCTTTTGCTGTTTTGTCTGTTTGTTGGTTTTTGCATTTGGAAAGCAAAGCAAGACTTTTCCAGATTCCCCAGTCACCACAACCCAGGGAACATTTGTTTGTATGACAGGGAAATAATGAGTATAAGGTTGGACCTTTCACTATTCCTGCCTAGACTCTTTGACTTACTTTTTTTTTTTTTAATTTTTTTGGGTCCAGTTGTGGGGCCTGAACTCTGGGCCTGGGCGCTGTCCCTCAGCTCTTCACCTCAAGGCTAGCACTCTACCACTGGAGCCACAGTGTCACTTCCAGCTTTTTTCTTTTTGCTTATGTGGTGCTGAGGAATTGAACCCAGGGCCTCAGGCATGCAAGGCAAGCACTCTACCACTGAGCCACCTT